AGCATTGTCTTCACAGACTTGGCGTACTGGTACATAATAAACCTCATTACATTGGACACAGTACACCATTTAAGTACATTACACTGTGAAAATGCGAGGGATGTCCTAATTCCTAGTTTCGTCCACAACTTACGGTCGAAATTCTTTTGGATATTGTGACTACTGAATGAAACACAAGGCAAAATAATTTTTGATTCTGTGTACTGTGATCACCTTTACAACTATAGATTCGAGTCTACAATACATGGACATCAGGGTCATTTGGGTACGCAAAATATATAAAAAAAGATATTTTGAAAAACAGGTGTACTGAATCAGAGTAAACTTCTCCATTCGTTCATTTTTCGTAAGTAAAAGTGCCGTTTTCCCTATGTCATACGGCGTATTGGAAGAGCGATGGTAAGGCTTAACATGGAGCTAGAGATCAGTTTACGCTCCGTCCGCCTTACACCCGCCGAAAAAGACCCCGGAATCATATTAACAGGAGACTGAAGGGCCTCAGAGCCTGTCTGCGCGCTATGATAAAGAGAAAAATCCCTTCCGGGAATCACCACACAGACTGCGCTTATCCCGAAATAAAAGGGATCACTCGGCACAAGCCTGCAGTTACGCCACTGTTGCTGTCATATAATATTATTAGGACCCCCACGGGACGCTTTGCTCTGGCAGTGGTCAGCAGAAAGAAATTACTAGGGTCGCCGCCTGGGGTCATGAATGCTGTGTTTCTTAATTAGGGTCACGGACTTCATTGACTCTGGGGCACTGACGTCATACGACGTAAACATATCATGCAATGATTCACTAAGCCGATCTATAGGAAGATTCTTAGCTAGTCTGGGTAATATGACCGAATTATGGGATGCACTATAACCACTTTCACAAGTAATAACTTCAATTTACGCGTTGGGTCAGGAGATGAACACTGTCTTCAATATCTTCTGCTTTCACACATAAGATCCTCTGGTGTGTTCCGGTATGGGATTAATTCTGAAGCAATATGGTACGACTCCTTAGACGGAGGATCCGCCCATCGCAAGGCAACTCTCCTGAACACAACACACAAAGCCACGGCCATACAATGCCTCGAGCAGAATTAGAATCCGACTTCTGAACAGTCATTTCTCCATATACACGTTTTCTGTTTGTGTTTTCGGTTTAAAGAGGTCGAAGACTGTGAACTACATCTTAAGTTACGTGGTTTTAGGGTTCAGATAATCGACGACCGTGTGTCTGAAGAAGACTGTAGCCACTGGGGTCATTTACCAATAGAGATTTGATCTCCATTTCTTTCCCGCGAGGCTCTGCGGGTGTTTTCACTGTTTTCTGTTCACCTCTGGCTCACGGCGGTGACGCCGTGTTTTAATTCTTTTTCAACCCTGATTCTCCGTAATCGCCCTCTGACGGTTTTTACTGAACCTCCAACTGTTTATTTGTATTACTGATGGCGGGCCAATTAATGTATTTTCGTGTGATTTACCCCACTTTTCGAGTTAGAGAAAATCTCCGAGGTTCGTTTACCATTACGAACAGACATTGGCGGGAGGTCAGCCAGGTTAAAGGGGAGGGAGGGGAAACGATAGCGCATAAGGAGTCCTGCTCCCCCCTGCCCATTTCATTTTCCTATCACCTCTTACTGTGACTTAGCTTGCGCTCGAAGATATTTTTGCGCCCAGAATAACTGCGACGTTGAGCCTTTCCGGAGATGTGAAAAGCCAATAAAGAAAATACTACTTTTCCAGAAAATGCCGTCGTATATCCACTTATAGTGAACAGCTGGTGCATGAATATAACATTTGTTTCAGAAAAAGCAAACAGAGTAACGGAATTGGCATAAATCTCACCTCATCCTGTTTGCCTCTTTATTTTAACAATGGATTCAAATCCTGAGAAATGCACCCAACCAGTTGAATGGAAAAAGTTATTTACTGATTGTCCGCAAAAATTAGGTGTAAATCGAAGTTCACAATTTGAAACGTATGATCTCAACTGATTCGTTGACCAATGTCAAAAGAAAATGCTTCCATTGCATTAATCACTGTCAGGAAACTTCAGAAACGTAATACAAGGCATAGCTTTATCCGACGTTCTGTGTACAATACGCAACATTTCCATGTACGTAAAAATACACTGACACGGTCAGCATAAAAACGTATATCGGTTTTATTTAGAAAATGGACAATACCGAAATACATCCATGGCATTAATAAACTATTGAAACAAAACTTCAAAAAACACGAACAATGAATGTGGTCTATTAATAAAAGGCTAAATTAAAACTTCAATTTCAACGTATTTGTGTCGCAGAACTATTCCGTCTTCCTCTGACCAATTAGCGTCTATCTTTAGCTACTGCTACTGAAAATTTACCTTGCGACACTGAATATTATTAGTGAAATAACAAAGTTCCTTTGCAGTAATTTGTGGAGTAGTGGCTTTATTTACCTTTCATTGTAATTAAAAAAAAACAAGGTCGGCACAAACATGCCAAAGATTTAGTTAAGAGGGGTTTGGATATATCAAGCAGGAAGACAGTGATGGCCAAACAGAGGTTCACAATGTCAAGGGATGAAAAAAACTGGCCCAAAAGGTGCTTCAGGATAGATTTGGAAGGAGACAGTAATGGCCTAGAAAATTTCTGTCTTCTGGGTTGTTGCGCTGTGTAATCCGGTAGATGTTTACCAACGTTTCAGAGGTCATACTGCCAGATGACGGAGGCAGTATGACCTCTGAAACGTTGGTTAATATCGACCATACTACACAGCGCAACAACCCAGAAGACAGAAATCTTCATACTCACCGCTGTGAAAACCTAAAATCATACATACTAATGGCCTACTTCACAGTTTTATTCTGGCACTGGCCTAGAAAGAATATGGAAACCTGAGAGACAATCTCAGTCAGAACAGTCTGTAAACCATCCGAGAGATTATAACCGAGTACATTCAAAATTAAAGCCTACAACCTTATCAGCATATCAGCCTCCCCGGTATTAATTACGAGTACCGGACTGCAATCTCAACAGATGACAAACTCTGAACATGCCACATCGTTAATAATAAAAAAAACCAATCAACTTTGTACTCTGATGACTGTGTTCTTTCCCATATTCGTCCAGTTGAAAAAAAAACCATCAGAAGTTACCTAATTCACGTGCACCAAAGCGTTCATGAACGAAACAGCGAAGTTACGACTATGTCAAGTTCTCTAGGACCTGTTCCACTGCAGTGTATATAATGCACTTTGATTTCTCCGAGTCACGTTTAGCAGACGGAAGCACTTACTGCCAGTCAGTCACAGCTCGGATTCCATCACGCAGCATCATTAAGCCTATAAAAGGAGCATCCTACACTTTGCAGTAGTAAGCCACAGCCCGTCCATTCAATGGCGCATACATAGTGAGGATACGATGGCAGAAACATATGGGCCGAACGTTTCCTATTTCACGTAAAAATAGACCATTTTTGGGCTCCTTCTTGCAAAGGGACGCAGACAGCAAAACGGAACTGTTACAAGCACTGAGAACACGATTGTTAAAGGTAGTTAGCTAACTTCTACTATTATTAAATGCATAAAGCGAATGAAGGTGATAAAATGAACGGATAGGTCTACAGCGGAGTACAGTTAGTCAGTCCGCCAGATTCATTCCCGAAATTACAGAACGAAATACGATTACAATTGGTGTTAGAGGCCTGCAATGATGGTTATTAAGCGAATTTAATTTGGGTCCGTATAGCACCAATATAACTCCTACTACAAAGAAGCTCGTATGGAAATATTCTAATGTAAAATCAGACACTTTTATTAAAAACATCTTTCGACACATGTACTTTTATCGAACTGCAAGACACAATTATTTATGAAATCCTTGTATTCCTGTGTACCATGGTTTACAAAAAATGGAACGAAACACATATAATAAACAACTGTGAACAACAGAACGTCACACACATTTGTTGATACTCAAATCCGCACACACCGTAATTCAATACTTCAAAAGTTTATTGGGAAGATAATTTGGGGAAGAAAATGCTCGACTGAATATTTTTTTTAGGATTCGCCATCGTTTACAAGTTACGACGTTTTTGTGTTGATATAAATTTCGTGACTGCAATTGTCAATTTTTTAAAAAAAAAAAAAACTAAAAGAAAATTCTTTTGAACACATCTATTTCCTTGGTTGCAATTAAAGTATTTTTAAATTATAATTTCAGAGTACATTTTAGTGCTTGTATGGTATGGACTAGTCAAATCTTGTAACCAGTATTACTGCCCGAGTCTTATAACTGTCCGTCGAAGCGGAGAACTGACTCCACCTTCAAACAGATGTACACATCTGCGCAGGTCACAGCGGTTTTAATACACGGTATAGGAACGCCAATTGACTGAGTTCTCCATTAATTTTCTAGCTTCCTATTATTTCGTCTCATTCTCGTAATTTTTGTATTTCATAGTTTGTATAGAATTCTCTATATTGGCCGGGGTCACTGGTAATACATCCATAGTATCAAATATGCTGACTGCTCCATCAGTGAGAATAAGGGGAAATATATTTTGGGTAGCATTCAGTATGACGTCAAGGCTTCAACGTCCAGTAAATTATCGGCTCAGACAGTACCTACACAAAGTGTTTGTGCGGAGCCCACATAAAAACGATCACAATACAAAGCGACATTCACGTAAAAACGTCGTCACTCGGAAACGAATCTGGAAAAACGTCATATACATTTTCTGCTCCAAATGCTGTCCTAAAAAAAAACACTTTAGGTACCGTAACAGAGCTTTTGAATCGCGTTGAAATGTAGTGGCAGTTTACCACAAAAACCAGCGGCGTACACTGACGAATTGGCAAAGACGGAAAACAAAACCACTACTATTACATCACTTTCTGAACTATTGTTAAATGTGAACAAAATAATTTCGGAAAAAAGGTCCTGACACAAAGTTTGACAATCGCTGAAGCGAGGTGGAAAGGAAGACGATACCGGCAACAGGCTTACTTACCGTGGTTTCGTCTTCGTGCAAGACCTGGTCATATTCGGACATGGCGACACAGAAAATAATCGCCGTTACATCTTCGAAGCAGTGGATCCATTTCTTTCGTTCCGATCTCTGACCGCCCACATCAAACAATCTGTAAAACAATTAAGTTAGGATAACACAAGACGGCAGGCGGTTTGTAGCGCGTAGATCATAGCTGTTATGCAGGACTGGAACTTAGCAGGACACACTTTTAATTGCTATCACACTGTTTATGAACTTACTGTGTATTTATTCTAGTTATATTTCTTTCCGCAAACAATACATCTGAAAGACAAATACCACCAACTTGGTATACTCACTAGAAGAAACGAACAGTACAAGTTGTCTTAACCTTGGCATGAGATGGAAATAAGAGGAAGATTTCTGTCTTCTGGGTTACCGCGCAACAACCCAGAAGACAGCAATCTTCTGACTCACCGCTGTGAAAACCTCAAATCCTATATGGAAATAAGTGGTTAGCTTCTTGTCCCGGGAGCTTTTCCCAGAGAAAATAACCCCGGTACCCACTGCACAGGAGGCTGGAGGGCATCAGCGCCGGTGTGGACTTTGTGGCTAAAGGAAAAATCCTGTCCAGC